GCCCTCTGTCCCTATTTTATGTACCTAAAGTTGTTCCTAGTTGCCTTATCTTTTGTACTTACTTCAAAACATTTAAAAACAGATAAGACAGATAAGTTGGTATGAAATTCCTACATTGCCCCACATAGTAATTTAAATGACTATGCAGCATATAGGAATTATCTCTATATCTATTTCTGGTAGCATTTTACCCACACTTTTGTGTAACACGTATTTTGAAAAGCTAATCTTTTAAACACTTGTGGTAAATCCTTTCAACTTAAAACTGACCTCTAAAAACCGTAAGTGTGCAGTGCAGCAGCACTGTGTACATTCGCACGGCTGGGAGTCCACCTCCAGGTCGCCTTCCATTTGGCCAAGCTGAAACTCTCCTCTGTGAAACGTCCACTCTTGATTCCCTGGCCCCAGCTCGGCAGCTGCCCTTCTGCTCTGTGGCTATGAACACGCCGGCCCTGGGGAGCCCTGGCAGAGGGGCTGTGTGGTGTTTGTGCCTTTGTGCCTGGCTTGTTTCACTCAGATAATATCTGCAAGCTTGCTGTGACGCTTCTTTCTGTCTGATCTTCTGTGCACAGCGCTGTTCGCTGTGCTGTGTGCTCCTTGGGAGCCTGCACTGTCCTCCTGCCTGGGCTCCCACTCCTCGTGTCTGCAGGAGGCTGCGCGACGCATGCCGGCTGAGCGATTGCGTGAAGGAGGAGGGTAAACACAGATCGTTTGTAGGTAGTGGCTGTCTGTGCTACATTAAGGGAAAAGCCTATTTTCACAAAACACATGGCAAATAAAGACTTGTGTCCAAAATATCCACAGAACACTTTAACTCAACAGTGAGAAAGTCAATTAAAATGGACAAAAGACCATAACACACCTCAGAAAAGAAAATACACAGAGGACAGATGTGCGTGTGAGACACTCGCCCACACATCTAGGGAAATACGGCTTCAGGGCAGCCCGGGAAGGGCATGTGCCCGTGCGCCTGGCCCACAGAGCCAGTGACAAAGCCACCAGCAGGCAGGGCGTGTGGCCGCTGCGGGGCAGTTTGGCAGTGCCTGGTAAAACTGAACATGTGCGCCGGACCACGCAGTGACCGCTCCTAGTATTTTCCCGAAGAAACCTGCACACAGATGTGTGCGTAACTGCTGAATCTCGGGAGCCACCACGCTGGCCTTCCGCTGGCGCCAAGCGGTGTTCTGGGAGACAGGTGTTGCTCAGCCTACACAGGAAGGCGCAGTCCAGCCGTGGGCAGATGTGCAGGAGTGTCGGGTGCTGTTCTGAGCGGAAGGAGGCGGGCAGAAGAGCGGCACGCACAGGCTGCGTCCTGTCTGAGGCCCTCAGGACACAGAACTGGGGCGGTGAGCGGAGATCGGCAGGCCGGGCGGTGGCACAGTGTCGAATTCTCTCAGTTTCCGTCATTCGGAAGTGTATTTTATCTTCCCCTCAAGGGATGCTCTGTGTGTGTGTGTGTGTGTGTGTGTATGTGTGTGTGTAGTGCCAGGATGGAACCCAGGGCCTGGAGCCCACCCTAAATGCTCTACCACAGAGCCACACTCCCTGGGGAACACTGAGGCACACAGAATTTGTGGTCACGGGGTTTGGGGGAGGTGGTAGATTGCTTGTTCTTTTCTTCTATTGCTTAAAAGATGCTGTGCTGTCTTAGGCCTCTGGCACCCATATGAGAATGCAATTCTCTTCCCCGTATGTGGCCGATTGCTTTTCTGAGGCTGTACCCTCCTTCCTCTTCTCTCTCCGCTTCCTTTTGATGTCAGGTGACTCAGTCTCTTAGGGTCGTTTTCTTCAAGGTCATCCAGACTGGGGCTCACTGATCTTTGGTTTTCCCCAGATCGATGAAGTTTTAAGCATGCTATTATCTTTCAAATAATTTCCCCCAGGGCATTTGTTTGCCTTCTCTTCCGGGGCTGCAGTGGTGTGAACAGGAGACCCTTGGAGACTCTGCTCATTTTGCTTTGCATTTTTGCTTCCCCTGCACTGCAGACTGGGTCACTTCTGTGCCTTATTCTCCAGTGTCTGTGGCGTCTGCTTCCGCTACCGAGACACCAGGGCACACTCTGTTCCATGGGACGTTTTCAGTCCTCAGATCCCCATTTTGCTCTTTTTCATAGTTTTTATTTCTCTGTTGAATGTTTATTTCTATCTTTTCACTTATTTCAATCATGGTTCTACTACCTGTGTAAAGACTGCTAATTTCAACAACCAGGCCACTGCGTAGTTAGCTTGAGTTTGTCTGTCGTCTCTCCTGTTGAGAAATGGTTCTATTTGCCTGGTCCTTTGCACATCAGGCAACTGAATCCTGGGCACCCTGACTGCTCTGACGCAGACTTGGTTTCCTGTGATAATGACAGGACTCGGTGGCCAGATGTGGAGGTGCCCAGTGAGTAACTCAAAGCAGGGCAAAGCTCTCCCTCCCTCAGCACCTTACCCCTCTGACCAGATGCCTGCTCAACCCCGCCTACCTCGCCTCCCTTCAAGACTGCGCACCCCAGGATGAGTCGCTAAGTCCGTCTCAGGGTGTGCAGGGATCTCCCACTGCCAGCTCCCACGGTTTCCAGTTTCGAATGCCTGAGGGTGAAGCCTCCCTGTACTTGTCTCCAACCTGCAGGCTCCCTGTGGGACCCGAGGGAAGCAGAGGCTCCGGATGGTCCCATGCTGAGGTCACACCCGAAGCGGGAGCAGTTGCCCCAGGATGAGAACTGCATTGTGTCTGCTGCCAATGTGATGGTCTCCCAGGACGTGCAAAACCGGTTCTGAGATAATGATCAACCAGACCCTCCCAGCCTGCCCACTAACGCTTGCCTTTGCTCCCGTTACCCATAAAACCCCATGGTTTCCATCAGCCCCTGGCAGACAGACTTTGAATCTCTCTTTCTGTCCTCCCAGGCTGGCCACGCCAACCAAAGCTCCATTCCCGCCCTTCGCTGTGGCATCATGGGGAGCTGGCCGGGCCTGGTCTGCTGGGGCCTCCGGAGCAAGGGCTTCCACCGCAAACCCTCGTGCGCTCGTCAGAATGCTGTTCTGTGGGTTCAGCAGATCCACTGCAAGCTCCTTCCTGCCGCCTGTGGACAGGTTCTCCATGCTGTCCACGCTGCCCGCCTGGCCTGTGCGGTCCCCGGCAGCGGGGAGCTGGGGATGCTCACTTCTCCCTGGGATCCCCTCCGGGTGGTCTGAGCTCCGGACAGATTCCTCTCAGAAGTCCACATCCGCTGCAGGCCTGCAGCTCTGCAGAGGCAGAACTGGCTTCACGGTCGGGCCAACACAGAGGAAATGTAACAGAGAGAAGACACGACTGCTGCCTGCCCTGGACACAAGGGCCCCTCCCTGGGAGATCTTGTTTTCAGGGTGCCAGAGCAGCCGCGGGAAAGGCAGGAGAGGAGAGAGAGGAAGCCAGGCCCCCGGGAACTCGAGGGTCCCGGCCACTGTTCAAGTCTTTCTTCCTCCTTCCGTCTTGCTGCCCTTGTCCACCTTTCGCGGCTCCAGGCAGCGGCTGCGTTTGTCCCCTCATTAGCTGGGACTGGGCCGCGGAAGAAGTGGTCTGGTGGCCTCGTTCCCTGCGCTGGGGCCCGGCCAGGCAGGACCCAGCCCTCGCCCCTCCGCTCCCTGGGACGCCATCGGTGTCCAGTCATGCATAGGCCAGGCTCAAGCAAGCATAAGTGCCGCATGCATGCATGGTCAAAAGAGGAGTGGACAACAAATCCTGAAGGGATTTTCAAAAGAGAATTTAACCTAAAATACATGCCGCGAGTCTAAAGGTGAAATGACATTAGGACGATGAGGATGACCATGATTCTTTTGCTTAAGGTTTGAGACCAGGGGCAGAAACTGTAGACACAGCAGGGTTTTGAAAGATTTGAACGGAAGGATTTTTCTCCAGCTTTAATACTGCCTAAGAAATACAGCTCTTGGCAGAGAGGGTAACTTGAAAGTAATAGGCCATTCCGAAAACAACAGAAATTGGCGTGGATTTTGGAAAGAGAAAGAAATATGTAAAAATCTAGGCTTTAAATTTTGAGAACAAAAATGGCCCTAGCGTGTGTTGTGGAAGATAAAGGAAAGTGGAGCGCATTACCCACCCCCTCCTCCCCCTCCTCCCCTCCATCCGGTGTCCTCACTGGCTCTGGTGCCGCTGCAGCCCAGGGAAGGCGACAGGAGTGTCACAGGCCAACGCCGAGTGCTGGGGCTGCGTGTGCAGGGCACGGGTCCCTGCGACGCTGCTGGTGTCCCTGATGTCCCCAGGCAGGCGAGAGGGGGACTCTCGGGGCCTCAGCAGCAGACAGATGGGGCGTGGTGCCACCACCAGGCACTCTGCTGCCGCGGGAGGGTCGGAAGGAGAGGGAAGGGACACTTCCCATGCCCTCAGCTCTCAGCTGAGCGGAGTCATTTGTTCAGGTGACAGGAATTACAGGACACCGCGGGTCAGAGCAGTTCTGCTGAACCCAGCATCTTATTATTGCTGAACCTTCAATGTGATTCATGAGAATAAACTTTGGGAAAACAAAGCGAGCTTTAACAGTGGCTGTAAAGCACAACAGTCCTTCAGAACAGTCTTGCCACTATCTGGAGTTACAGGCAGCTGAAGAATAATCTCTGACAGCAGCTCTGAGCTCACCGTGGAGGGAAGATGGGGTGGTGCTTGCCTGATTCTGCCAAGGGTCACTTCGGGCTACCCGTGGTGTGGCATTCTGGATCCGACCAGTGCTGCCACCCCTGCGGAGCTGGGCCAGGCCTCCTGGGCCCGTGGTCACACAGAGAGTGCAAAGGAGCCTGTAGCTTCAGATCCAGGTTGGGGCGAATGGCTGAGTATTAGGTAGCAAGTCCAGGCACAGTGAGCCTTAGAAAGGTTGAAGGCAGAGGTGGGTGTGGTGGCACATGCCTGTAATCTCAGCATTCGGGAGGCTGAGGCAGGAGGACTGCAAGTTCAAGCCCACGCTGGGCAATTTACTTAGCAAGACCCTGTCTCAAAAAGAGAAAAAAAAAAAAGCTTAGGGCTGTAGCACAGTACGGGGAGACTGGGTTCGATCCCCAGGGCTGCAAAAAAAAAAAAAAAGTTGAAGGAAGTTGGCACCTGCCAGAGAGTGGGTGAAGTTGTGGTCAGAGAGCATGTCAAGGAGGCTTCAAAGGGTGCTCTGGGGGTAGGAGACACCAGGCCTGGGGACCCACACAGCCGGCACAGTCAGTCCTGGGGCAGCTCAGAGGGCTGGGAAGGCCAAGGGATCAGGTGTCGGGAGGGAGTGGCCTGGCCTGCACACTGAGGGAGGAAGGAAGGAGGGAAGGAAGGAAGGAAGGCAGGCAGGCAGGCAGGCAGGAAGGAAGGGAGGGAGGGCTCAGCACCTGGGCGACCGACCGGGGCACAGCGAGGTCCCAGGGCAGGAAGTTCAGCGCAGACTCTGTGCCCTATCTGGGGACAAGGCCCTTCCAGGCCGAGAGGGGGCACGGTGGGTGGCGGTCCCCTCCTGTCCCTGCCCCTCGTCCCAGGGCGCTGGGTGTCTGTGTCCCAAGGCGCGCCTCTCCCCAAGGACGAGGCCTGTCTCCTACGGCCACTCCTATGGGCATGGTGTCCCCGTGAGGTCGCAGCGAGGGGCGGGTGGCGCACTCCACCATTCGAATCTGGGGGCACGGGGCTCAGGCCCAGCAGCTGATCTGGAGAGGATGGTCGCGACCTGGGTGCAGTCGGGCAGGGCTGAAAAGGGAGAGAGCGCGGGCGAGCACAGCCCCACCGGGAGCGGGGGAAGGGCGGTCGGGAGGGGTTCTAGGTGCGGTTTGGGGGCAAAACTTGTGGAACTCACTGGAGTGATACAGGAAAATAGAAACTCCCACCCTGAACGGTATCTGGGCCGAGTTCGTGTTCTCTAAAAACGAAGAATGAATTTTAGGAACAATGAAGGCTAAGAGCAGAATATATTTACTGAAGGAAAGAAATCGTCTGTCCCAGAGAGGGACAGAGGGGGGCGGGTTGGTTTGCCAGGGCCTTTGCCTTTCCCGGGGCTTTTTCGGGGCAAACCCCGAGGTGAGGCGGGCCCAAGATAGGGGAAAATGGAAATCACAAGGTGGGCATGAGGTGGGACAAAACCATGGTCAGCCAATGAGATTACAAGGATAATTGTTCGGGTAAAATTGATGAAATCCGGATCAGATGGGGAAGCGAGTCAGGTAGTAAGCGGGCGTGAACACAGAACAGGGGCTTTTCCTGTACGG